CATTGGGACCAATGCTCCCTCTAAGCTGTGGAGTCTTGTGAGCAGAAATTCTACTTGGTGAGCGACTGGCATTAAAGTGGTGAGCGAGCAAATTGGCTACTGCATCAATTAGTTTGCCCTGGAGCCCTCCTTCCTGAGCAAAGACAAAAAATTTGTGAGCCAGAGGCTAAAAAACTGTGAGCTAGCTCACACTCACTCAGCTTAGAGGGAACACTGATTGGGACACCCACGCAATGCTGGCGTTACAAAGGACATCTCTACCCCCCAACCCCTCCAAAAGCCTTTTTTAAAACCTTTCTGTCGGATGACACTGAAGACGGCATACCGGTCCCACATCGAGTCACCTTCTTATAATAAAAACTACAGAGCTTCGAACATCCGGCTGGGATTGGTGGACTGGGGAAGAGGCATTTGGCCCCTCCCTCAGATTCCAGTCTATCCCCCTCGGGTTGCCAAGCTCTAGGCGGTGGCTGGAGACCTCCCGCAATTGCAACTGGTCTCCAGACGTCACAGAGGTCTGTTTGCCTTGAGGAAATGGCTGCTTTGCGGACTCGATGTCATTGCATCCCTCCCCAAACCATTGCCCTCCCCAAGATGCGCTCACAAAGTCTCCAGGAATTTCCCAACCCAGAGTTGGCAGCCTTACCACCAATGTTCCCTCTAAGCTGAGTTAGTGTGAGCTAGCTCACAGTATTTTAGCCTCCAACTCACAGATTTTTGTCTTAGCTCAGGAAGGATGGCTCCAGAGCAAACTAATTTATGCAGTAGCCAAATTGCTCGCTCACAACTTTAATGCTAGTAGCTCACAAGGTAGAACTTTTGCTCACAAGACTCCACAGCTTAGAGGGAACATTGCTTACCACCCCCCAAATGCATGTGGATGAGGAAACTTCTGGTTGCCTCAGGACACCCCCTTTCACTTTTTTCTGGTTTTCTGTGGCAGTGGGAGAAGAGAATAACTTCTGCATACATTATATTGGTTTTTACCCCACCGTTCTTCCTAATGGGAACCCAAATTGGCTTGGTGTTTGTGGTTAAGTGCGCGGACTGTAATCTGGGAGCACCGGGTTTGATTCCCGACTCCTCCACTTGCACCTGGCTGGATGACCTTGGGCAAGCCGTAGTTCTGGTAAGAGCTGTTCTTGAAAAAAGAGCAGTTTCTATCAATAGCTCTCTCAGCCACACCTACTTCACAGGGTGTCTGTTGTGGGGAGGGGAAGGGAAAGGAGTTTGTAAGCCGCTCTGAGACACCTTTGGGTAGTGAAGGGTGGGGTATAAATCCAATCTCTTCTTCTGTTCTTACCGTATTCTCCTCCATTTTGTCCTCACACCAATCCTGTGAGGTAGGTTAGCCTGAGAGAGTCCGCCTGGCCCAAGGTCAGCTAGTGAACTTCCCTGGCACAAGTGGGGATTTGAACCCCAGGTCCCAAATACTAGTCTGACACTCTTAACCACTGCAGGCCCCTAGCTATGGTGGGGCTTTGGGGGCTCTGCCCCCTTTCTTAGAGGCACAGCCCCACAAGAATTTCTCCTGTAAATGCTTTTTTCAATCATTTTTGAACATTTTTTTAAAAAGGCATGCACTCCTTTAAGCAGAGTGGGGTGCTGTAGTTGACTAGTTCCCGCACTGAGTGAGGGGGTTGGAGTAGGTGACCTCTAGGATCCCTTCTAACTCTGCGGCAAGAAACTGGTCTCCTTGAAGACAGTTTTTCTGCCTAAATGTTAGCTTTCTTGACTATAGAAATCATCACCCTCACCTGCCAGCTTGTTCTCAGGATTGTTGCTTGGCCTGGCCAAAGAGATTAACTTGCAGCAGCTGAGAACCGTCATCTAAAGTGGCTGACAGCTTGCAATTTAGAGAGCTAGTCTGGTAACAGCTCTCTATTGGCTCAATGGCTTTTCTTTGGCACTGAGAACTTCAACCCCACCAGAACGAAAATTGCCCACAAGCCACAAAATCCTGGCTACGGGCCTGCCCCACTGGCTCTGCAAGAACTATAGTCCGTCACTGTCTTTGAAACTGGGCTACAAAAAGGCAGGAGCAGTTGACCCCTCCCCCCCACCATGAGCACAGGGCAATTCTTTAGTAGTAGGCAGAACAGAACTCAGCAGGTTTGGAAGAGATTGGAGCAAAGCAGAGGAAAATGTGGAAAGTGCATGATTAGCGGATGACCTCGTGTTGATGTGTAAAAAAATCTCCAGTTGGGAAGCAAAGGGGGGGGATAAAATGTCCCTGCAGATATAGTGAACATGAGCCTGCTGAATGTGAACTTTGTCCTTTCTTTACAGCCGGTCACGGCAAAGGGATGCCATCTGGGAGCGCCCCGTGTCGGGTCATTGTGCACTTGGACCTGGATTGCTTTTATGCACAGGTCGAAATGATCCATAGCCCTGATTTAAGAGGCAAACCTTTAGGTAATCTTACTTGATCGCTGAAGGCTTTTGCATTTGTGTGTGTATTGAAACTGTGGATGGGTTTGTGTAACCTTCGTTTGTGGGTCCTATGGGGCAGAACTTGGAAGGAATCTTGTAATAATTGAAAGGGAATGAAACATGTTTACTTTTCAGGTAACATCATATCACGGAACAATAACCTAGATCTTAGTAACACGACAGAACAGTGATCTTTTAAGGTCCAAACGATTAACTTTTCCCTCTTTCACAGCTTGCCACCCCCTAAAGGCCATCTTTTTCCTATTCTTGGTGGCCCAGGAGGTCTCCAGATGAACACTCTGTGCACCAGCTTCCAAGATGAGGGTCCCAAATGAACTTCCCATTAGATAATACAGCCCTGAAACAATCATTCTAAAATTACAATTTAGAATAAAAGTCTCTGTCCCTGGATGGCCCAGCTAGCCCGATCTTGTCGGATTTCGGAAGTTAAACAGGGTTGGCTTTGGCTAGTATTTGGATGGGCACCTTCCAAGGAATACCAGGGTTGTGACATAGAGGCAGGCAATGGCAAACCACCTCTGAAATGTCTCTTGCCTCAAAAACAAGTCTAGCTTGCCACCTAGGGGCGCTAAACAGCTAGAACTTCTGGCTGCCAGACAATCTTAGGATCTCCTGGCTATACTACACACAATGCCATACGATGATTATATTATTATTATTTATTTTTATTATTTATTATTATTGTCCATACATAAATCATAGTTACCTTTTTAAATATATATATTTTATATTTTATTGTAAATTTCAATAACAGACATCAATGCTAATACATATCATGATCAAGAGAGTCCACTAATCTACAAATAATTCAGCTTATAGATCTTTAAATAGTCATTGCCTATTTGCATTTTCTATCCATTCGCAAAGCCTAGTCCACAATTTCTCAAATATTTCCTGACTTTTCCCCTGTAACATCAATGTAAGCTTATCCATCTCGGCTATTTCTAGCAATTAGTTACCGTAAACCTTAAACGCTTTCACACATGCTAAATAATGCACTTTCAATCCACTTCAGCAACCATTTACAAGTGGATTTTGCCATTTCATGCAGTAAAATCCAGCTGCAAAGTGGATTGAAAGTGCATCATTTAGTGTTTGGGAGAGCACAAATTAAGAGCCTCTGATTAAAGTGCAAGCTCCCCAGCATGGCGGTCTCGCTTCCCTCCTCTGCTTTCCACACATACCTCATCCTTCTGCATCTAGAGTCTCGACCCTTCCTGTCTCATTCCATTACTAGCTAGGGGTGACATTCTCCCCGGCTACCATACCGCCAGTTTGACAGTATCTGCAAATTTAGGACTAATGGAATAACAAAACAGTAAACAATTACATATTACTGTGTTGAAAGTTATTCTGGTTCACTGCGCTGAAAACATAATCATTTAGCTTAGCAGGCTTGGTTCTAACCTTTTTAAGCCTAGAAGGCAGACCATTAATTTCCCTGGGGGTCACTGTATTGGGAGGAACTACGACTAGTGACTTTGGCAGCATAATTTCCCCCCCTTGCTTTTTCTCATAAAGATTTTGCGCTACATTAACCTTTTCGGAAGAGTAGTTTGGGGTGAATTCCCTTTCTAAGGGATTGAGGTCTGAAAGAAACTAGACTCAAATGTGAATTCTTTTCCCACTGAGTCTACAACATTAGTTGATTTCTGCCTCCTCCTCCTGCTAATGAGATCCTCTGGAATGTCTATATTACACATGTCTTTAAAGGAGGAAAGAAATCCACAGGGTCTCCGCATGGCTCAGTGCAAAGTCTGAGCAACACTTTTGCCATTTTCTGATTGCAGCCTATATACTGGAATATTTTCCTCAGGTTGATCTAGAACTTTATGTACAATGAGTTTTTACCTGTCAGCTAATTTTTGGTGTAGTGTTAAAGTGCACGGACTCTAATCTGGGAGAACCGGGTTTGATTCCCCACTCCTCCACTTGCACCTTGGGCAAGCCATAGTTCTGGCACAGCTGTTCTCTCAAGAGCAGTCCTCAAAAGAGCTCTCTCAGCCCCACCTCCCTCACAGGGTACCTGTTGTGGGGAGAGGAAGGGAAAGGAGTTTGTAAGCCGCTCTGAGACTCCCTTGGGTAGTGAAGGGCGGGGTATAAATCCAATCTCTTCTCTTCCTCTTCTTCTTCTTCTTACCTATCGGCTAATTTTTGCATACCTCGGCGGCTTAAATTACACACTAGAACTTTGTCACCTGTTGAGATGGTAGATTCACCAAGACTTTAGCATCCCATCTTTTTTTGTTGTTGGCTTGTTGATGTTTTTTTACTTTCTTGGGTGGCCAGATTATATGCAAAACAAAGCCTGCGTTTTAAGTCCCTTACGTATTTCTGATGAAGTGTGTGTGCACACGAACGCTTATGCCCAGAATTAAACTTTGTTGGTCTTAAAGGTGCCACTGGGCTCAAACTTTGTTATATTTCCGATGAGTCACTTCAGTTTGCCCCTTTGGCTTTATCCCAAAACACAAATTAATGTGTAGTAAAGGTTGTCTTCTAAAGATTAAGAAGTAGAGGCTTATTTTTGGTACAAAACGTACGCATGAGCCAGTGGTTTTATATGTATTTTCTAATTAGATTTTTAAAATTTGTTTTTATGGTGCCCAGCATATCTAAAAGGGTACGATTGAACCTTTCAGCTGGGTTTTTTCTTGGATGATATGGTGCGGTATGTGACTTCCCAAAATTTTCCTCAGTTCTGTAACTAGTTCTGACTCAGATTCTGCAGCTTGATCACTGTGGAAACCTTCTGGGAAAACTGTAATGACATGTAAAATTTCCCCCCAAAATCGTAGCTGCCGTTCCTGCAAGTTTGATTTCTGGTGGGATGTGTTTGTGCGTATTTGGTAAAATGATCAGTAATCACCAAAATATTTTCGATGCCAGTTGCATCTGGTTCAAGAGTCAAGAAGTCTATGCAAATTAAGTCTAAGGGAGCAGATGCTGTTATGTTAACTAATTTAGCTCCTTTTTCTACTTTACTCTAGCTTTCTTTTTTATGCAGCGTTGACCGTTCCAACGCTTTTGTTCTATCGTATGAATCATTTTAGGCCAGAAGAATTTATCCTTAGCCACATTTAAAGTTCTTTCAATTCCCAAGTGACCTTTTTTTTATCAGGGATGCCTTCTAGAGCTCTCCTTCAGTGGGTGTATGGGCTCTACATCTTTTCCCCTTTCGTTGCACTTTCTGATAAAGAACTCCATCTAACAGAAAAAGTTGAGGTCTCTCTCTCAGATAGCAGCCTAGCTTCATACTCTTCCTTTCCCCCCTTCATCTTAGGTGGGTTTACAGTTTTTCTTTAAATAGTGTATTAGTTTCGCAACGTATTTGTCCTTTCTCTGAAACTTTTTCTAATCAGGAAGCCTACTATTTTGATTATAAAAGGCTTTGATATGATATCTTTCTTTTTAAATATTTTTCTGGGATAATATTCTTTGAGGGAGGTAGAGTTTTAATGTAACTGTTGCCCCCTTTGTTAAATTCTGCTGTTGCAGGATGTTTGTGGCTCGCAGTACGCACTTGAATAACTGCCTTACAGACGTCAGCATCTCGTGACTTTTAAGCGTTGGGGATCTCGTTGACTTCTTAAGAGCATTTTAGCGATTATTTTTATTTGCTTAACTCCTTCATTTTATGTGGGAGCATTATCATGTCTTCTTCTAGAGAGGAAGTTAGCGTTCACGTTATGGTTTTAAAATTATGCAGTGCAGACACCCACCTCTGTCCTGCAGCATCTCGCTTGGCAGAGGTTAGTACACAAGTTAGTGGGTTGTTATTAGTCATCACCTTAAACTCTGAATCATATAAGAGATTACGAAACTTGTCACAAACTGCCCATTTGAAGGCTTCAAGTTGTGCACTGGATAATTGCATTTACTATGGCTTAACCCTTTACTGGCAGAAGCTATGACGTGGAGACTGTTGTTCGTTTGAATCATAGAATCATAGAGTTGGAAGGGGCCATACAGACCAACCCCCCTGCCCAATGCAGGACCAGCCTAAAGCATCTCTGACAAATATTCATCCAACCTTTTCTTGAGAGCTGTCAGTGAAGGGGAGCTCACCACCTCCCTAGGCAGCTGATTCCACCTTTGGTACAAAGCTGCTTTTAAACCACTTGTGCTGGCATTTGTATGCAATATACAGGGGTCGTAGAAAAAGAGGTGCCGGAGCTCATTAGCAGAACTTATTAGCATAACTTATTTGCATATGCCACACCCCCTGACATCACCGGAAGCGTGTCAGAAGGCAACACCCACTATTCAGGCTCCACTGGACTGTTTTGGAGTACTAGCTATTGGGGGGGGGGAGGGAATGTGCAGATCCGTCCTTGCAGAGGAGGGAGAGCTTGTACCTGAATAAAGCTTGGTCTTAAAGGTGCCACTGGACTGTTTTGGGTCGGGGGGCCAGGGGGGGGCTCTGCAACTTACCTGGCTACTTCTTGCTCTGACATGTCGGCCTTTCCAAACGTATTCTTTCAGTGATATAATTCTCTTGTTCAGCTGTGCGGCAGAAAACCCTGGTCGTCACCTGTAATTATGAAGCCAGAGCACTTGGAGTAAAGAAAGCCACGACGGTCAAAGAAGCGACAGAAAAATGTCCACAACTGGTGCTGGTTAATGGAGAAGATCTTACAAAATACAGGGAAATGTCTTACAAGGTTACAGGTACGGCTTCTCTTCTTCGTGGAAGCGTGTCTATGCGGTGTAGTGGTTAGATTGTGGATCTGATGTCTGGGAGACCCATGTTCAAATCCCCACTCTGCTCTGGAAGCTTGCTGGATGACCTTGGATCAGCACACACTCTCAGCCTCCTCTAACTCACAGGGTTGTTGTGAGGATAAAATGGAGGAGGGGGAAATGATGTAAGCTGCTTTGGGCTCTCTTTGGTAAGAAAGGTGGGGTACGAATGAAGTCAATAAACTGAGAAAGGGAAAGCCGCTCTTACCTTTGGGTTTATATTCTTCCCTATCCCAGTGTTCACATCAAACACAAGTTGTTCCCTCTAAGAGGGCTCTTTTTGTAGCAGGAACTCCTTTGCATATTAGGCGACACACTCCTAACATAGCCAATCCTCCAAGAGCTTACAGTAGCCCCTGTAAGAAGAGCTCTGTAAGCTCTTGGAGGATTGGCTACATTCGGGGTGTGTGGCCTAATATGCAAAGGAGTTCCTGCTACAAAAAGAGCCCTGCCGGGGCCGCGTATGATAAAGGTTTGTAAAACTGTGCATTGGGTGGAGAGAGAGAGAAAAAAATGAAAACTCTTTCTAGGAGAGGAGATAGATCCAGGTGGTCAGCCGTGTTGGTCTGAAGCAGTAGAACCAATTGAGAGTCCAGTGGCACCTTTAAGACCAACAGAGGTATATTCAAGGTAGGAGCGTTCGTGTGCAAGGCACACTTTTTCAAATACGTTAGAATGGCAGGCAAGGTTCCGACTTATAGCCAGAGAATATGCTGTTCATTCTCTGGTTATAACATCGACCCCCCCCTGCCATTCCAATGTATTTGAAAATGTGTGCCTTGCACATGAAAGCTCACACCTTGAACAAACTTTTGTTGCTCTTAAAGGTGCCCCACTGGACTCTCAATTGGTTCTAGGAGAGGAGGATAACGCTTGGGTTCCTCTTCCAACAATCCCTGTCTAGCAAGAACTAGACAGATTCATGGAGAATAGTCCATCAGCAGCTGGTTGGCCACTGTGTGAAATAGGATGCTGGATCAGATGGACCACTGCTCTCATCCAGCAGGGCTCTTCTTATGTTCTTACCACCGTTCTGGTCTAAGGTACAGAAAGGGTGGGATGGCATGAGAAGAGAGAATGGCTTGCGTGTCTCACCTCCTTCCCCGGTTTGGTGGTGTCATGGGATCATATTATCCCAAGATCCTAACTAGCTCTTTGTTCTGTGGAGATGATTGTCTTTGTAATGTATTGAAACGATTACATTGTCAAACATGTGGCCCAGGGGCCGGATCAGGCCCCGAAAGGGTGGGATGGCATGAGAAGAGAGAATGGCTTGCGTGTCTCACCTCCTTCCCCGGGTTGGTGGTGTCACGGGATCATATTATCCCAAGATCCTCACTAGCTATTTGTTCTGTGGAGATGATTGTCTTAGCATTATATTCTAATGCAGGGGGTGTCAAACATGTGGCCCAGGGGCCGGATCAGGCCCCTGGAGGACTTCTATCAGGCCCGCAGTGAAACTGGCTGTCTTCTGCTTCTTCTTCCAGTTCTGCTGCTGCTGCTGCGTCATCGTAGGTTTGCAGCTTACAGACACACACCTGAACAGCATACTCAAGATTGCAGCAGCACAGGCACTTTGATGCAATAATTCAGAGCAAGAGGTGTCAGTTATCAGACACTGTTAAATAAACAAAATATTGCAAGAGTGCTGAAGTTTTAAGCATGTTTTTATTTTAAGTAAAAAAAACCCTTTGTGTTTGTGTTTTTTATAAAGTTTATATCTCCGCTGCCTGGCATTACCTTTTATGACACACATGGCCCGGCCCAGCAGGGTCTCATTTATGTCAGATCTGGCCCTCATAACAAATGAGTTTGACACCCCTGTTCTAATGCATGATGCAAGTCAACCCCTAAGCAACAGGCTGTTCTCTAGACAATGTTTGTTAATAAAGGATGCAGCCAATGGGGAACTTCCATTCATATGCAGCTGCCTTGTACTGAATCAGACCATTGGTCCATCAAAGCCAGTAGTACTCAGATCGGCAGTGGATCTCCGGGGTCTCTCGTAGAGGTTTTTCACATCATCTACTGCCTCATCCTTTAAACTGGAGATGGCAGGGCTTGAATCTGGGACCTTCTGCATTCCAAGCACATGTTCCACCAATGAGCCACTGCGGTGTCCACATCACATACTGCCTAGTCCATTTTCTGGAGATGCCGGGGCTTGAACCTGGGACCTTCTCCATGCCAAGCAGATGATCTACCACTGAGCGACTCCCCCTTCTGGATTGGCCAGGGCCATTGAAACTTTCATTTCAGGAGGCCCTTCAGAAGAGCAGCTCTTTATGTTTTGATGTTTGCCACCTTGTGGACCCTGACTGGGTTGAAAGACAGCATAAAAATCTGTCCAACGGCCTCCACCAGACCAACAAATCCATCTAGAGCAGTGACTGTCACCACCACAATTTGTGGCAGCAAGTTTCACAAGTCAGCTATCTCTTGCTTGCAGGAGTACTCAAGCTGCTTTATATTGAGGAGAAGAAGAGTTGGATTTATACCCCGCCCTTCACTCAGAGTCTCAGAGCGGCTTACAATCTCCTTCCCCTTCCCCTCCCCACAACAGACACCTTGTGAGCTCTGAGAGAGCTGCTCTTGAGAGAACAGCTCTGAGCGAAGTCAGCTGGTCCATCGAGGTCAGTATTGTCTATTCTGACCAGCAGCAGACTCCAGAGTCTTAAGCAGAGGTCTTTCACCACACCTACATGTATTTGTATTGGCATGCCGGTTCAATCCCTGGCATCTCTCGTTAAAAGGACCAGGCTGTAGGTGATGTGAGATACCTCTGTCTGAAACCCTGGAGAGCCGCTGCCAGTCTAAGTAGGCAATACTGACCCTTGATGGCCCTGTGTTCTGATTCAGCATAAAGCAGATTCCTGTGTCCTTCGTGATAGTTTTAACTGGAGATGCCAGGGATTGAACCTGTGACCTACTGCGTGCCAAGCAGATGCTCTACCTCTGAGCCACAGCCACTACCCCCTCCAGGGTTCTTTTTGTAGCAGGAACTCCTTTGCATATTAGGCCACACACCCCGAATGTAGCCAATCCTCCAAGAGCTTACAGAGCTCTTCTTACAGGGGCTACTGTAAGCTCTTGGAGGATTGGCTACGTTAGGAGTGTGTCGCCTAATATGCAAAGGAGTTCATGCTACAAAAAGAGCCCTGGTTGGAAATGCTTGGAGCCCTTGTCTCTTCACACTGCTCTGTCAGCCAGCGTTCTGACTCAGTGTAAGACAGCTTCATGGGATTGTGTGCAACAGGATCTCTTATAAATTTATACTGAAAATCTTTAGGTTTTCTTCTTCTGGAGATCTCGTGTGTATGAAAACATTTCTCCTGAAGTTACTCCATTAACTCCATTTTATGCCGTCTCTCTCTCTCTTTTTTTTAATCTCTAGCACTGTTGGAAGAATTTACTCCACTGGTGGAAAGGCTCGGATTAGATGAAAACTTTGTGGATGTTACTGAGATGGTAGAGAAGAGGCTGGAAGAGTGGGAAAGGGATGGTTCTTCTCCGATCTCTATCTCTGGTCACGTGTATGGTAATCAGAGTAAGTTGGGGGGGGGGGGGTTAGAAAAAAAAAAGAGAGGAAGAGACACCAATGTTGGATCAGGCCCAAGGCCCATCTAGTCCAACACTCTGTCACACAGTGGCCAAAAATACCAGGTGCCATCAGGAGGTCCACCAGTGGGGCCAGGACATTAGAAGCCCTCCCACTGTTGACCCCCCCAAGCACCCAGAAGACAGAGCATCACTTGCCCCAGAGTCCCTATCTATACCTTGTGGCTAATAGCCACTGGTGGACCTCTGCTCCATATGCCTATCCAATTCCCTCTTGAAGCCATCCATGCTTGTAGCCGCCACCACTTCCTGTGGCAGTGAATTCCATGTGTTAATCACTCTTTGGGTGAAGAAGTACTTCCTTTTATCCATTCTAACCCGACCGCTCAGCAATTTTGGGTTTGGCCAAAGTCTCAAGTTGGATAAAAATGCACGAGCTCTGGCACCGATGGAGACGCAGCTTGTTATGCGATTGATGTGGTCTGTTGAGGAAATCTGTCTATCTGAGTCCTTCTGTCTGGGTTTCGGCCACTGTGTGGTACGGAGTGTGGGACTGGATGGGCCACTGGCCTGATCCAACATGGCTTCTCTTATGTTCTTATCCTGTCCTTCCTCTGAGATGCTCAGGGCAGCATACGTGGCTGTCCCTTTCCTACGTTATCTTCACAGCAACACTTTGAGGGAAATTAAGCGGAGGGGTTATAGCAGCATCACATCAGGGGGAGGTTTGGAACCCAGGTCTACCTGACCCTAGTCGAACCTTCTTCGGCACTGCTCCATGCTGGTGTAATGCTCATGGCACAGCTGTGCCTTAAACTCATACTAGTTGTGTCCCATTTAAAATGTTTGTGGCTTCCCATTAGTGTTGCCAACCTCCAGGTGGGGCCTGGAGACCCCCTGGAAATACAACTGACCTCCAGCCAACAGAGATCAGTTTCCCTGGAGAAAGTGGCTGCTTTGGAGAGTGGACTCTATGGTGTTATATGCTGCTGAGGTCCCTCCCTTTCCCTAACCTTCTCAGGCTCCACCCCCAAAATCTCCAGGAATTTCCCAGCTCAGAGTTGGCAACCCTGCTTCTCATAAAGAATCCAGAGAACTGTATATCAGCTGGAAATTCCTCTTCTGCCTCCTTCCTGATCTACCGTTCTTATGGGTTCCCTGGGGAAAGGGAATGGCCGGGGTAGTTCCTCGGTCTTGCTTTACAGGGGTCATTTTGTAGAAAAAGAGGTGCAGGAGCTCATTAGCATAACTTATTTGCATGTGCCACACCCTCTGACATGACCAGAAGTGTGTCAGAAGGCAACACCCACCGCTCAGGCTCCACTGGACTGTTTTGGGTTGCTAGCTATTGGGGGGGGGGAACGTGCAGATCTGTCCTCACAGAGGAGGGAGAGCTTGCACCTGAATAAAACTTGATCTTAAAGGTGCCACTGGACTGTTTTGGATTGCTAGCTATGGTGGGGGGGAGAACGTGCAGATCTGCCCTCACAGAGGAGGGAGAGCTTGTACCTGAATAAAACTTGGTCTTAAAGGTGCCACTGGACTATTTTGGATTGCTAGCTGGAGGGGGGGACGTGCAGATCTGTCCTCACAGGGGAGGGAGAGCTTGTACCTGAATAAAACTTGGTCTTAAAGGTGCCACTGGACTGTTTTGGATTGCTAGCTATGGTGGGGGGGAGAACGTGCAGATCTGCCCTCACAGAGGAGGGAGAGCTTGTACCTGAATAAAACTTGGTCTTAAAGGTGCCACTGGACTGTTTTGGATTGCTAGCTATGGGGGGGGGACGTGCAGATCTGCCCTCACAGAGGAGGGAGAGCTTGTACCTGAAGGCAGGCCGGCGGGGGGGGGGGTCTGCAACTTACCTGGCTGCTTCCTCATGGCTCAACTGAGGGCTGCTGGGAGCAGGGGGTGGGGCTTGTCGCATGTGCCCGCCTCCTGAGCTCCTTACTGCCGAAGCTCCGCTCCTGTGCGCTCCCGCAGGAGATGACCCCTGGATCTAACCAGCTTTTCTGCTGGTGAACAGAGCAGAGGGGACCTTTCTGTTTGTGCTAGGGATCATGGGACCTGCGTGAACAAAACCATATGGGACAAGAATAGGGTTGCCGGCCTTCAGTTGGGGCCTGGAGATCTCCCGCTTTTACAACTATCTCCAGCTGACAGAGATCAGCTCCCGCGGAGAAAATGGCTGCCTTGAAGGGTGGACTCTATGGCACTGTACCCTGCTGAGGCCCCTCCCCTCCCCAGACCACGCCCTCTCCTGGATCCACCCCCAAAGTCTCCAGGTATTTTCCAACCCAGACCTGCCAACCCTAGACAGGAATTGTTAACGTGGAGAATTTTTTTAAAAATTCCTACATTGAAATATGACATGTCCAGTGTTCCAATTGAGTCCTCCCTGCGAGTGCAGTCCTTCTGACCATTCTCTTTCCGCCTTGCAGCTGTCAATCCACACGATCCAGCGCATCTAAGGTTGGCGGCTGGATCTCAGATAGCCGCGGAGATGAGAGAATCCGTGCACGCCAGGCTGGGCCTTACGGGTTGTGCCGGCATAGCTTCTAATAAAGTACGGTCCAAATTGGTCTCTGGGACTTTCAGGCCAAATCAGCAAACCATCCTGTTGCCCGAGAGTCGGCGTGGTTTGATGTCCAGCCTTGAACACATAAGGAAACTGCCAGGTACGATGAGTCCTCTTCCCCATTTTGTGTTGTCTGTGACCATTTCGGGTGCAGGCGAATGAGAATCTCCTCTCCCCCTGCTCCCCATAGTGTTTCCTGGATCCCCATTTTATCTCTGTCATAATAATAATAATAATAATAATACTTTGTTTATTAATTGCTTTCCCCAGTGGGCTCAAAGCGATGTACAGTTACACATTAGACAGGGGACTAACAATATTCAAAGGGGATAGGGAGGACAACATATATTCATTTATAACTGCACACGCTGTGACTGCACGGTGTAAACGTCTTCTGGCTTGGCTCAGTCATTTAACGGCTGCTTGTCGACCAGGCTTCAGGACCCGTATGTCACACTGCCACCGCCTGGCCGGAGACATCCATTGCAGGGATTTTTGTAGCCGAGAAGTTCTTTTGCCTTGTTCCGACCTCGACCAGGAAGTCCCGACCATCAGCTAACACCCTCCCACAAGGGAGATTGGTGTGCCCACCCTCTCTAAGGAGTGGTTCCCATTTTATCTACTCACCGAAGCTTTCGAATCGCTGGGTGGACGATGAGCTGGGGACAACAGGCTGGCTGCTCACACTAGCACGGGGCTTGAACTAATAATGTCACACTCTAGTGTGACCAAGAACACATGAAGGTGCCTTATGCTGAACCAGGCCATTGGCCCATCGAGGTCAGTAGAATCATAGAATCACAGAGCTGGAAGGGACTCCCGGGGTCATCTAGTCTAACCCCCTGCACAATGCAGGAAATTCACAAATACCTCTCCCCCAAAAAACCCTCAGTGACCCCTGTCACATGCCCAAAAGATGACAAAAAAAAACTCCTCCAGGATCCCTGGCCAAACTGGCCTGGAGAAAAATTGCTTCTGGATCCCAATGTGGCGGTCAGCATTTCCCTGAGCGTGTAAGAAAGGGCCACGAGAACTAAGCACTGATGCACCCCTTCCTACCCTCCCTCTCATGATCTGCCTAAGTTCTCACAATCAGCATTGGTGTCAGATGGCCATCGAGCCACTGTTTGAAAACCTCCAAAGAAGGAAAGCCCACCACCTCCCGAGGAAGCCTGGTCCACTGAGGAACCACTCAAACTGTCAGGAAGTTCTTTCGATTTAGTTTCAACCCACTGTCTACTCAGTATTGTCTACTCAGACCGGCAGCGGCTCTCCAGGGTCTCAGGAGCAGGTCTTTCATATCACTTGCTACCTGATCTGTTTAACTGGAGATGGCAGGGATTGAACCTGGGACTTCCTGCACGCTAAGCAGGTGCTGTACCACTAAGCCACAGCCCTTCCCTTTAAGAGCAACACTTGGTATGACAAGGGAGTTGCAGTGTTCCTTATCCTGTGTTCCCCTCCTAAACATTAATACCATTTAATTTCACTAAAATATCAGGAGTCCTCAAGCCTGTCCCATTGTGGTGCTGTGGTTTTAGCCAGGGGGTCATTTAGTAGAAAAAGAGGTGCAGGAGCTCATTAGCATAACTCATTAGCATAACTTATTTGCATATGCCACACTCTCTGACATCACCGCAACACCCACCGCTCAGGCTCCACTGGACTGTTTTGGATTGCTAGCTATTGGGGGGGGGAACATGCAGATCTGTCCTCACAGAGGAGGGAGAGCTTGTACCTGAATAAAACTTGGTCTTCAAGATGCCACTGGACTGTTTTGGACCTGGGGGGCCGGGGGGAGCTCTGCAACTTACCTGGCTGCTTCTTGCTCTGACTGAGGGCTGCTGGAAGCCGGGGGTGGGGCTTGTTACATGTGCCCGCCCCCTAGGCTCTTTACTGCCGGAGCTCTGCTCCTGTGCGCTCCTGCTGGAAATGACCCCTGGTTTTAGCAAAGGATTTCTTTTTCTTTTTTTGCACAGGTATTGGGTCTAAAACCGCACAACGCCTCGCAGCCCTTGGACTTACCACAATTTGTGATCTCCAGAGGTGTTCGGCTGCAGTGCTGGAGAGAGAGCTGGGTGTTTGGGCTGCGAGGCATCTGCAGAAAGTGAGTCATGGAGAAGATGATGCTCCCGTCACCCCATCAAGGCCTCCTCAGGTATATGCAGGACAGTGTGGTGGAAAGGCTATAAGGGCGCCAGGCAGTGTAGTCGCTATAAAGGGTGCCAGGGAGGGCTGTGGACAGGGATATGGGCAGTGCGCCAGCTGCATCATCATATCACTTCCTGTAAAAATACTGGAAGTGACATAGGTAGCTCTGGGAATCAACAGAAATTCTATGGTGCTTCCTAGAGTTACCATAAGAACATAAGAGACACCAATGTTGGATCAGGCCAAAGGCCCATCCAGTCCAACACTCTGTCACACAGTGGCCAAAAATACCAGGTGCCATCAGGAGGTCCACCAGTGGGGCCAGGACATTAGAAGCCCTCCCACTGTTGACCCCCCCCCCCCAAGCACCAAGAAGACAGAGCATCACTTGCCCCAGAGCCCCTATCTATACCTTGTGGCTAATAGCCACTGATGGACCTCTGCTCCATACGCTTATCTAATTCCCTTTTGAAGCAGTCCATGCTTGTAGCCGCCACCACTTCCTGTGGCAGTGAATTCCATGGGTTACCCTATGTTACTTCCTTCTCTTTTTTAAATCAGAAGTGATGTGATTCTGCAGCCAGTGTCACAGGTTTTTTTATGTAGGTCAGTCTCTCCTTAACCAACCTCTTAAGGCTGGTGTGAGGATAAAACGGGAAAGGAGAAGGAATCATCTGAGCTGCCCCGAACTCCTTGGGGAGCAAAAAGGAAGATGATGTTAGATAGATACAAGGGGGGACCCGCGATACTCGCGGGGGGGGGGGGGCTCGAGGAAGCATGACTGAACTCCCAAGCAAGTTCTGGTCGTGGCACTTAAAGGGACCTCATTCCTTTTAAATGCCTTCCCTTCATTTGAAATAACAGGGGCGAGCGGGCTCTCCACTCGCCCCTCGCTGTTTCCCTTCCCCCTCCCCCCCAACCCCGCACTGAAGCCAGGGGCTTCATAACGCAGTGTATTTTGCTCACACTGGAATAAGAAGAGGTGATTGATCACAAAACAGGCTTGCATTCAGCTAAGTGGAGAATATGTTACAGATGATTTCACAAAACACAGAACAGAGAAACAGTGACTGGGTGCTGTAAAGTACACTGGTTCATATGCACCTTACACCTTTTCTTTGTTTCCAAGTTGTGGATTTGGTTGTCCCTTTTATTATGATAACGGGACTCAGCTTTTTTTTTTACATATTTTGCAGTCTCTAAGTGATGAAGATTCCTTTAGAAAATGCACTTCAGAAGCAGAGGTTAAGAAGAAAGTTGGAGAGCTCATTGCTAGCCTTTTGGACAGGTGATTGTTACCGCAATTGCTTTTGTCTGATTTCGGTTGAGTCTGTGATCAGCAGATATGCAATTGAGCACGCACTGAAGTCACACTTGGTCACTGCAGTTGCCCATGTTTTTTAATTTTTATCACTCTACCGCTTGTTTGGCCAAACTGTCCCTGCATTTTTTCATACAAATGCTTCAAACCCTTTCACTGTTTGAAGGGTGGTACCCTGGAAAGGCATTTACTGGATCACTTGTACACAATAGCTAAGGCAAAAGTGGTTGAAGATGCTCTAATTTGACTGCATTTTGCTATTGAGAGCCAGTTAGGTGTAGTAGTTAGGAGCGTGGACTCTAACCTGGGAGAACCAGGTTTGATTCCCTGCTCCTCCACATGCAGCTGCTGGTGTGACCTGGGGCCAGTTAGAAGTTATTTCAGAGCTGTTCTCACAAGGGCAGTTCTCGAGAGAGCTCTCTCAGCCCCACCTACCTCAGAGGGTATCTGTTGTGGGGAGGAGACGGGAAAGGAGATGGTAAGCCGCTCTGAGACCCCTTCAGGTAGTCTCTTCTATTGCTTTAACACTTCTATTACTTCTCTTCTTCTATTGCTTTAACACTTCCCTACATAGGGTTACCAACCTTCAGGTGGTACCTGAAGATCTCCCACTATTACAATTGATTTCCAGATGACCAAGATCAGTTCCCTTGGAAAGAGCAAGAGTCCAGTAGCCCCCTAAACACTAACAGAATTTGTGGCAGGGTAGGAGCTTTCGTGAGTCACTGCTCACTTCTTCAGATACAAGAACGAGAGCTCCTAAAAGGTAAAGGTTCCCTTGCTCGAAAGACAGTCGAATCCGACTCTAGAGTTGCGGTGCTGATCTCCATTTCAAAGCCGAAGAGCCAGCGCTGTCCGAAGACGTTTCCGTGGTCATGTGGCCGGCATGACTAAACACCAAGGTGGACGGAACGCTGTTCCCTTCCCACCGAAGTGGTACCTATTTATCTACTTGCAATTTCTTGCTTTCGAACTGCTAGGTTGGCAGGAGCTGGAACTAGAGACGGGAGCTCACTCCATCATGTGGCACCCGGGTCTCGAACTGCTGAACTACTGACCTTCCACAGCCTGCAGTTCAGCGTCTTAACCACTTGAGCCACCGCAGCTCCCACGAGAGCTCCTACCCTGCCACAGATTTTGGTAGTCTTTGAGGTGCTACTGGACTCTTGCTCTTTTCTACAGCTACAGACTAACACGGTTACCTATCTTGAGTTCCCTTAGAGAAGATGGTTGCTTTGGACAGTAAACTCTATGACAGTATGCTCTGCTGAGGTCTCCCCCCCTCCTCAAACCCCGCCCTCCCCAGGCTCCACCCCCCAAATCTCCAGGTCTTTCCCAACCCAGGGCTGGCAACCGTATCTGTCCATCACCTTCCCTGCTTCTCCTATTCCTTCACTTCCAGGTTGGTCCAACCAGCTGGGCAGAGGCTGTGGTTTGGAAAGCTGGTGTAACGTAATGGGCGCTTTCACATTGCTCAAAGTGTCTGTGGCGCATCTGCGTGTGCTGCTTGTTTTGTTTTCCCGCCCGTTTCCTTTTTTTTAAGCGGATACTAAATTTCAATATATTTCAGAAGATGGGGGGAAATTTAAGTGTGGCGAGAGAAAAAGCGGCCTGGTTCGAAACCAAAACAGCTCTTCATGTATGGTTTGTCTATGGATGTCAAGGCTGTTTAAAACCACCATCGCCACATCGCAGTGGACACAAACTGGGTTAAAATGAAAATGTGGACGTGCCTAATGTCTAAAGGCGTGAGCTTAGGAAGTCCCTGCTTCTGATCTTACCTCAGCCATGAAAATTGTGGTTGCTCTTAGGCAGTCCTGTTGAGAATCAGCCGGGGCCTTTGGGAAAAGATTCCCTCTGGGCCTCGTCCTTTACGTTTAAAGAGAAGAGATCTAAGGGAACAATTACATCACTACTGGCTCCTGGCTGCATCGAATTCTCCTAACCAAGCGAGAAACATACACAACTGAACCATTACTATAGGAAAGTGTGCCTGACCATGGTACCTGAAGTGACTTAGAGTAGCTCTAGGAATTCCCAGAAACACTATGGTTTTGCCAAAGAGATTTTGGCAATCTCTAGAGCTGTCCTATGTCACTTCCGGGTTTTCCTTGGAAGTGATGTGGAGACACACAGGATGCTGCCTCCCCCCCCCCTCCAGCTGCCACTCAAAGAGAGCCAGTTTGGTGTACTGGTTAGGAGCATGGACTCTAACCTGGGAGAACCGGGTTTGATTCCCCACTTCTCCACATGCAGCTGCTGCTGTGACTTTGGGTCAGTAATAAGTTCTTTCAGAGCTGTTCTCTCAAAGGCAGTTCTAGAGAGAGCTCTCTCAGCCCCGCCTACCTCACAGGGTGTTTGTTGTGGGGAGAGGAAGGGAAAGGGATTGTAAACCGCTCTGAGACTCCTTCAGGTAGTGAAGGGTGGGGTATAACTCCAATCTCCTCCTCCTCCTCCCTGTTTCTGAACCCACAAGATTACAGACATTGTCCCAGAAAACAGCATGGGAGAGCACAATGAAATGGGTGAACGTCTAAGTTCATCCCCCAACAATCCAGGCTCGGGAAATTTTGTACACCCCCCACCCACCGTGGCCCTGGTCTTAGACAAGATGCCATCCCTTAGTCCTAGCCCCCTGTATTATCCCCACATCTCTCCAGTATTGGCTGATCACAATAGCTTGTCTCTTTTAGGATGGTGGTATGAATTACTGATTAAACGAAGTGTGTTTTATAACACTTCGCAGTAGTATTTAATTGCAACATGTTTATAAGAACATAAGAGACGCCAATGTTGGATCAGGCCAAAGGCCGATCCAGTCCAACACTCTGTATCACACAGTGGCCAGAAATACCAGGTGCCATCAGGAGGTCCACCAGTGGGGCCAGGACATTAGAAGCCCTCCCACTGTTGGACCCCCCCCCCCAAGCACCAAGATGACAGAGCATCACTTGCCCCAGAGCCCCTAGCTATACCTTGTGGCTAATAGCCACTGATGGACCTCTGCTGTCCCAGAAAATCGTTTGCTAGTTTTATTCCTTTCTTGAACCAACGGGGATATTTTCAAAATGGCAGTCATATCAGCCTCTCTCATCCATGTGCTTTAGATTGTACAAGGATGGAAGAAAGCCACATACCATAAAGTTAACGCTTCGCCAGGTTTCTCGGGGACTTTGTCGGGAGGGCCGCCAGTGTCCAATTCCATCTCACGTGGTCCAGAGGATTGGAACAGGTAATTGTTCTGTAGGTTGCTTCCATTTTGGCCCTAGGACTGGATGCAGCTCAGTATGGCAAGGAATTATGGGAAGCCATGGAAATCATAAATCCTCATTCATCCCTCTGGCAAACACTGGGTACCAACCTCTCACAGTGCCACAGCGATGGTAGAAGCCACAGCTGACATGTTTGTCTTAGCTTTTCCCCAAGGAGCTCAGAGCAATGTAGATTTACTTTGTTTAAAACATTTTTATACAGTACTTCCAGTTCAGAGCCAGTTTGGCGTAGTGGTAAAGTGTGCGGACTCTAATCTGGGAGAACGGGGTTTGATTCCCCACTCCTCCACTTGCACCTGCTGGACGACCTTGGGCAAGCCATAGTTCTGATCTGTTCTTGAAAACGAGCAGTTTCTGCCAGAGCTCTCTCAGCCCCACCTACCTCACAAGGTGTTTGTTGTGGGGAAGGGAAGGGAAGAGAAAGGAGTTTGAAAGCCGCTTTGAGATGCCTTTGGGTAGTGAAGGGCGGGGTATAAATCGAATCTCTTCTTCTTCTCTTCTCCCCAAAGTGGCGAACAATCAAAAACATTAAAACAAGTGTTTAAAATACCTAATATTAAAAACAAGTAAACATAAGCGGGTAAAACACATATGCAGAAAGGGGGATCAGTGAAGGAACAGTAGTCGAAACAGGTAAGATTTCACCTGTTGGCAGAAGAGAAGGAATTCTGTAAATTTGGTGCCATGACCAAGAATATGAAAATGCTGTTTCTTGGGTTACCATCCATCTAGTCTCAGATGATGAGGCCACCCAAAGAAAGGGTTCTGAAGATGACCACAGTGGTCAGGTAGGGTCATATGGGAGTAAGTGGTCCTTAAGGTATATTGATCCCAAACATAGATCACGTTGCTCTCTTCCATTTTATCCTTACAAAAACCCAAAGATACAGTGACTGGCCAAAGGATACTCAGTGAACTTCATGTCAGAACAGGGATATGAGTCCTTAGTCTGACACTAACCACGATAACCACACTGATTCTCTCAATCCCGTTTCCACTGCTCTGATCCACTTAGCCTTCCTTCTTCTTCTCTCCCCCCCCCCCCCCCCGGTGCATTGCCTGCTACATAACATCCCTTCAACTTCTTCCCCCTTGGGTTCATTGTTTCTTAGCTTCCCTGCTTAATGGGATCCGTTCAGCCAAACTGACTAGTGTCTCTTCCCTCGTGGAAGCAGGGCTGCAAACTGTTTAATCCCATAAGCAACCGAACATTCCATGGCACCACGCCGGCTCAGGCAACTGGTAGCAGAGGCTTTCCCACTTGCAAGCATAATCAATAAATAAAGATTATCTCTGTCGGAAGCGTAGCTCAGATCTTGTCTGATACTGTCGACTTTGCGTAACTGCTTTTTTCTTGTTTGCATGTTCAGATGACTCCAGCGTCCAGACTCAACTGGTCGCCTTAGTTATGAAGCTGTTTCATAAGATGATAAATGTGAAAGGTCCGTTTCACCTCACCCTTCTAAGTGTCTGCTTCTCCAACCTGAAAGCCCCTCCCGCTTCTACCAAGCAGTCGATCGGGTTTTATTTAATTCGGCCATCTCCTTCCAACTGCAACAAACTTGTTCAAGTAAGTTCAGAAGTAATTTATTGAAAACTCTGCCCTGTCGTATCCCGAATTAACTGAAAAAATGAACCGGGAAAGCTGCTTTTTTCCCCTCCTTTCGTTAAGAAAATTAATATGCCATCTCTCTGGAAGATCTGCTGGAAGCTGCAGGCACACCTGATCACCTCTGGTGAATAAAAATTCCCTCCAGGTGACCAGATGCATTTGGAAAGTGGAACTGAGTTGATTTGTTGATCTGAGAATAACTAAATAACTAAGAATAACTAAGGGTAAATATGTAGCAGACAGGCTAGCAGACAATTTTATCATGTAGTAATTTCTATGGAGGAGCTGCGGTGGCTCAAGTGGTTAAGATGCTGAACTGCAGGCTGTGGAAGGTCAGTAGTTCAGCAGTTCGAGACCCGGGTGCCGCATGACGGAGTGAGCTCCCATCTCTAGTTCCAGCTCCTGCCAACCTAGTAGTTCGAAAGCAAGAAATTGCAAGTAGATAAATAGGTACCACTTCGGTGGGAAGGTAACAGCGTTCCGTGCGCCTTGGCGGTTAGTCATGCCGGCCACATGACCACGGAAACGTCTTCGGACAGCGCTGGCTCTTCGGCTTTGAAACAGAGATGAGCATCGCAACCCTAGAGTCGGATTCGACTGGCTTTCGAGCAAGGGAACCTTTACCTTTACCTAATTTCTATGGGCTTATTTTCATGACGGTGCCACATGGCTGTGTATATGAACAGGCAGTTAACCGTAGCGAGAGATCAGTCATTTTGAAGTGCTTGCAGTAAACTGAAGGATACTCTTTCAGTGTCTGAGACTGTAGGGGAAAAAATTGTATTGTGTTGTGTTGCAGAAAACAGAAGACGTTGTCAGTGCAGAACATACACCTCCAGAAGGTCGAGTAGGGGGCCGTGAAGTCTCACCAGGAGAAGGAAATGGAAGCACGACACAAATGCCACCGGAGACCCCAGACCAAACTGGAGGTCTTGAATTCCCCCTTGACTTGCTTCCCGCCGGCATTGACTATGATGTGTTCAACCAGCTTCCGAGGGAAATTAAAGAAGAGATCATTTCTAGCCAAAAGGGGGAAAGAGATACTGCGACAAGTGTTTTGAGTCACTCATTATTTGCCTCAAGGGAAGAGCG